GTGACAGTTCCCCATTACGGACGTGAGCGCACTGAAAGCGGCACTGAAAGACTGCTTCAAAACTTTCACAGAGACATCAAACATAAAGCACAAAGCCTTTCATTAAGGTGAATTTCGTTTTGTATTAATTGTATCTTAATTTTAATCAATGTTTCATCAACCAATTGCCTGGATTTAATAAATAAGAAGTAAATATAGCAGACGATAGATAATCTTGACACGGAGGCGCCGGCGCGTGAACTGGAGCTCGTCTTGTGAGTCATAAATGAACCGAGACACAGCGTATAAGGTACGCCTACTTGCCTCACACACCTAAGAAATATATCTATAGAAAGCTCGAAATGTGTACTTTTACAGAACAATTCAAAACGAAAGAAAACAGACTGTTCTCTGAAAAGAACTAGCTTTGACTAGCTTTCGTGAGGCACACTCGCAAGGTCTCTCGCTCTCTCCCTCTCTGCCATGCTCGCGCTATGCATGTTATGCGCGCAATATGTTCTGTCTCGCATGCGCGCTCTAGATTCCGGCAGATTTGAACTAATTTTCGGGCATCAGGGAGACGCTATCAATATGCGGGAGACTCCCGGGAGACTTGGGATGTCTGCAATGGCCACAGACAATTTGAGGAAGTGGTGGGGGAAGTGACGTATGCCATAAAGCAGTCGAATTTTGTAGTTCTTTTTGTGCTCGGGTTCCTACCCGAAACCCGAAGTTACATAGTGCCTGTAAAAGCGATACAGACCATGTCAGGCTATGGCAGACGTGTCATTTAACTTATTTTAAGTCGATGTACCATCACAAGTGTCTTGGAAATATATTATGAAGGTGGAAAAACTACATAGTGTTACTTTAAGTATGTTTGATTGTGTTAAAATGGAACTACTGCAATTATACTTTAGGTACACTTTAAATATCTTGCATTTAAACACTATCTTTACTAAAAGTGATATTAAAGCCACATTTTAGGTTTAATGATAAGAAATGCGCATTGTGCAATAAACAAATACTCCAAATAGAGTTTTAATTATCATATCAGTAAATCTAAAGCGATATGCCAGTAAATATTTTAATGGATTTATAGTATACTTAGTATGAAATAAATGTATATTAAATTCATTGTGGAATAGGTTTTTTTTTTCAATAGGGATGTTGTGAAAACATGAACGTAAACAAACCTGAATGACGCTGGTAAAAAATATTTATGGCTGGAAATCTTTTAAGTCACTACTAGCCATTGTCAGTTGTGGGAAAAAGTTAGTTTTAGGCCCAGTCTGTAAATAATTAATGATGTCTGATCATTTAGAAGAAGAAGGAGAAAAAAAATCAACCTCACCTTATTATCCGCAACAGCTTCATCTAGAGGACAGAATCTGTGGTTGGTGTGTTTTCTGGAGTCTCGACACACCACACACACGGGCTGTTGATCATCCAGACAGAAGAGTTTGAGCTTCTCGTTGTGATCTCTACAGACTCCAGATCCAGATTTCTCTCTTCTCTCCTGTTGAAAACTCTCACACAAGTTCTTCAAAGCCAAATTTACCGGAGGACGATCATTTGAAGATGTTCTTCGGCAAACCGGACATTCTTTAAATGTTTTATTTCCCCAAACCCTCTGAATACAGCTTGAACAAAAACTGTGGCTACACGACAGAAGAACAGGGTTTATAAAAATGTCACAGCACACCGGACAAGATAAATCCTCCTCAGCAAAAGATCTAGACGCCATTTGTCTTAGTTACTTAGAAATGAATCTCAAAGTTTTCTCTTTCAGTCAATTGTTTTAACTCCGAGCAGTCGAGTTTGAGTTTTTAAAAAAACTTTCCACCCAGAGCAGGTACTCCCAAAAACATGCATCAGCAATATTAATAATCACTAGGAATAATAATCCTTACTGAATTATTCATTGGTCTATTTCAATTGAGCTACAGATTCTGTGTGAACTAACTGCAGATAAACAGGTGTGTCTGACCAAAGTCTCTTGGTTTATGACTTTCATCCTAAACAAACCTTTGAACTACGGTTGCTTTAGAGTTTATTAAAAGCTTCTATATTAACCACTATCATTAGCTTACATCTTCATAATGTATGGAAGCTTGTTTCCGCCACAAATATTTTTTGTTGTTGTTTATCCCGCAATTCTCACTTTATAACTCGCAATTGCGAGACAAAAGTCAGAATTCTGAGGTGTAAACTCGCAATCATAAGAAAAATGTCAGAATTGCGAGAAAAGTCAGAATTGCAAAATGTAAATTTGCAAAAATTGGAAAAAATTCTGAATTGCAAAATGTAGACTTGCAATTACAAGAAAAAAGTAAAAATTGCGATAAAAGTCAGAATTGAAATATATTTAAATCAGAATGCACATTCTATATGTTTGCTATTGAGATGTTTATTATTTATATATCTTTGGAACTTTACAAATAAGAATAAATAATAAAGAAATACATAGTAATGAACAAATGTGGCATTATAAAATCATTACAGATGCATTTGAAGGTAAAAGGGTCTACATGTGGATAAAAAAAAACACACAAAAAACTTTAAATGTACTTTTTTGTTGTTTTTTATTGGTAACATATAATATTAAGAATACAAGCCAAGATAAAAATAACAATATAACATGACAGAGCCCTAAACATTCATAATTAACAATGAATAAAATAGCCTATATTTGATTATTGTTTCATAAGTTACAGAGAACAATGTTGTAAATAATACAAAACACCCACATTTGATATGAGCTTAATTAAAAAAGTAAAATTTATGACAGAACCACATACCAAATTAATAAATAAGTTATTTTTAGATTTAATATAGTTGATTATACTTTTCATAACAGAGAACAATGTTGCAAATTTTTACAAAACACCCAAATTATATCTAAGTTTGATTATTGTCACAGATTAGCATAATTTATGAGATGAAGAATAAAAGCTACATTTAAAAAGAATAATTCATAACAGAACCACATAAATTATGTGTGCCTCAGTTATCTGCTGTATTTACTGTAAAATGAAGCTCCAAGACTTCAGTGTTAATAGTAGATATATTAATTAATAGTAGGTAATATTTTTGAACAGTTCATTTTGTTTCTAGAACAATTGTCTTGATACATTATAAGATAATAAACAGGTACGATTTTTTAATGGTTTCTTCTCAAATCAATATTTCATTTCCCATCATTATTTATGTGGTAAAAGTCTGTGTAATAAGTGACACAAATGTTCATTATGACTTGATGACCGCAACTTTCGTTCATGTCTATCTGGTTTAAAACCTGTTTGTTCTTTGCGTTTAATGAGCTAGTGAAATATTTCCACTCAACTGTTATTTACTGTCTGTGGCAACTGGCAAGTAGCCGAGTAATAATACAAATAGTAGGTGCTGTAAAATAATATAAACTGCTGGTACATACAAAAAAAAAAGTTCTCGGCCATTTTCAACAAACCGTTAATGATTCAAAAAGCTGATAATACAAATCGTACACTTATTTCTAACTTCTACAGTATATGCCTAATATCGTTTCTTTTTTCTTTTTCTGTGACCTTGAATAGGCCTACATTTAATTAAATTTTTTCTTTTAAAATAAACGTCAATAAATGCAGAATATAAGGTCCCATGCAGTTGTTAAAGATTATTGGAGTAGGTTTTACAAATAAATATTTTTGTATTTCTACTTCAAAACTTTGATTAATTCAGTGTGTTTGCCATTTCTTTGTAATGGATTCTGAAATAGGCCTACTAGAAATATAAGCCATTCATACATCTTTAACTTTAATGTTACATATTTTTACTTTGATTTGTTTTATTCTTAAAATAGTATTAACTGTTAGTACATAAAAAAATAGTTCTTAAACTAGCTGTTTTCAACAAACCATCACTGATTCAAAGTTGATAATAAAAAACTTAAGTCTAACTTCTATGCTTAAAGGCACAGTAATTTTGCTGCTATAAGTCGCTTATTCAAAACAAAGGCATAAAATTATGGTTTCTAAAGAAAAAGTAAAACTGGAAATCGAGGGTATTGTGCAATGACACGGGCTGTTACGCCAAAAATCTTAAATATTATGCCTTTAATATCTGTGCACAGACTTTTTCTGTGACTATGTAATTTCTAAAACTTGTAGTTTGTGGAAAAATTTGAATAAATGCATTAAAAAAATTCTTTTGAAGTTTATTATTTAGATTATTAGAGTATGTATGTTTTCACGAAAATGCTATTTCAGTTTTTCCACTTCACAATTTCACGTTTAAATCAATACTACTTGCTGTTTCTTGGTACTTGTTTGTGAAATTCACAAGCGATTTCTGAGTTTTTATTGTTTCTACACCAAATGTTTTCAGTGTAGGCCATTTGTATATATTATATTATATTTTATTTATACATGTAACATATTTTAATGTTACATATTTGTACTTATTTGGATTGTTTTATGGTCTCTGCTGTGTCCCCCCTCCCCCTCCCTAGAACTCCATCTGGAGCTCGGGGCCCCCCTGTGATTATAGCCCCCCTTGACTTCTATGATCCCCCAAAACTTTGGCCATCTCCCTGGATCTCGGGGCCCCCTGGAATTGTGGCCCCCCTCTGGAGCTCGGGGCCCCTCTGTGATTATAGCCCCCCCTTAACTTCTATGATCCCCCAAAACTTTGGCCATCTCCCTGGATCTCAGGGCCCCCCTCTGGAGCTCGGGGCCCCCCTGTGATTATAGCCCCCCCTTGACTTCTATGATCCCCCAAAACTTTGGCCATCTCCCTGGATCTCAGGGCCCCCCTGGAATTGCAGCCCCCCCTTGACTTCTATGATCCCCCAAAACTTTGGCCATCTCCCTGGATCTCGGGGCCCCCCTGGAATTATGGCCCCCCCTCTGGAGCTCGGGGCCCCCCTGTGATTATAGCCCCCCCTTGACTTCTATGATCCCCCAAAACTTTAGCCATCTCCCTGGATCTCAGGGCCCCCTGGATTTGCAGCCCCCCCTTGACTTCTATGATCCCCCAAAACTTTGGCCGTCTGCCTGGATCTCGGGGCCCCCCTGGAATTATGGCCCCCCTCTGGAGCTCTGGGCCCCCCTGTGATTATAGCCCCCCCTTGACCTATATGATCCCCCAAAACAGTAGCCGTCCTCCTGGATCTCGGGGGCCCCCTGGAATTGTGGCCCCCCTCTGGAGCTCTGGGCCCCCCTGTGATTATAGCCCCCCCTTGACCTATATGATCCACCAAAACTTTGGACGTCCTCCTGGAAGTCGGGGCCCCCCTGTAACTGTGCCCCCCCTCTGGATCTCTGGCCCCTCCTGAAATTCTGGCCCCCCCTGAAATTCTGGCCCCTCCTGCTACTGTGGTCTCCTCTAGAGCTGGGGCCCCCCCTGACACTGTGCTCCCCGCTGGAACCCTCAATCTTCTGTAACACCGTGTGCTTCAGGTCACTCAGGTATTTCCGGCCATCGATCAGCAATTTTGAAATATTCCCTGGATCCGGTGGGCTGTTGGCTCTGTTAAAACCAACAAGAAAACAACAACATTCAGGAGTCAGAAATGCTGATGGTTCAGAACCCCAGAAATTAGAAGAGAAACACAACAGACCTTTTCAATGTGGCCTTGAAGTTCTGTAAATACAGGGGGGGAAATAATTCAGCAAAACCAAAATTTTAATCTCTTAAAATGACATTCATATTTCAGAAGAATTCATATTGAAATTCTGAAGATGAACATTAATTGACACCTTCAGGAATAAATCATCTTTAGCCTTCATCTGTTCCTCTATGTCTCTGACTTTCCATGTGAGAGAGACAATCTGTTTACTCGTCTTCTCAGTCTTCTCCATTATCATCTGACACTTCTGCTTCTCTTCTTCTCTCAGCGCTGTTTTTCTGGCCGCTTCTTCATTGCGTATAATCTCGTGAAGTTCCTCGGACTCCTTGGTGATCTTCTCCTCTGTATCTTGAGTTTCGTTCTGAAAATTAACAGAAAGATATAAGGGCCAAACTAGATCTATATCAATAGAATCGCCTGAATCACACTGTTTATTTCAAACCTTAATAAGATCAGCAGTTTGGTCCAAAGTCAGTTTAAAATTCTCAAATGCTTCCAGTTTCTCCTTTAAGTGTTGCAGTGAATCTCTGAGTTTCTCCTGAAAGAGAACAACAAAAATAGTGTCTCACTTTTCTGTATTGATTGTTTTTATTTATCCTTTTGTATTTGACATATTAAAGATAGCATTGTCCATTGAGGGAATATGTTTAGAGGGAGGGGTCAAAATGAACCGAAACCTGTGACACCTGTTTAATGTTTAATTGACTTATACTAATTAAATGCCACGTTCACTAGTTGCAGCAATGAGAGTTGAGGCAGGATCTAAACACAGTAGTCACTTTTATTTCCAACTTAAAGTCCCCCTGTAGCCAATCATTTTATCCCTTAAAACTCATCTTTGATCACCAAAATGACACATTTAAACGTTTTTTCCGTGAAAAAAATTCTTCATGCCTTAAAATATCTTGAATGTAACTCGACACCCTTGCCTCATTAAGTATACGTGGTTCTATGAATATGCAAATGAGCCCCGCCTCCACTCACTCACTCAGCTCAGAGATCCACTGGTTGACGATCACACCTTGATCTGATTTTTATTTTTTTATTTTAATTTAACCTTTATTTAACCAGGTAAGCACGTAAAGAACACTTTCTGATTGGTTACAAGGTCGTTTGTGATGTCAGAAACACCAGCGATTTCAAACCGTGTTTTTGAGACGGTCTTTGGTTCACTTTCATTAAAAACACCACATTTAAACAACATTAAAAGCAGGATTTTCACCACAGGGGGACTTTAAGCAAAAATGACAAACACACAGGAGCACAGGAATCCGCAGGTGTACAACAACCAACTAAACATCAACCAGAGCGAACCAAGAACGTCTCAAACTGAGGGCAATAAATATACAGAGTAACTGCTAAAGGAGTGGATCACTAGGGCATCAAACGAAAACATGCTAACCATGAGAACAGAAAGAAAACGCAATGAGCAACAAACTAATATTCCAGGAAAATGAAACTGAATGTTACATTCAAGCACTCCCTGTAAATTATAATGCAATCTGATAACACCAGAAATACCAGAAAATATCAGTTTCACAATTCAGTAAAATAATGTTTTGATCATACACATACCGGTAGATCTGATTTAGGCTTAAAAAAAAAAAAAAAAAACAGAGACATTTTTAAAGACATAAAGAAATGAGTAAATGTATTTGTGTGCTTCCAAATCAAGAGCTCTTTGGTTTCAGGACTCACATAAACCTCAAAACATAGAGTTTCAAAGTCATATTTGTCACATTATTGATGTTTTTTGATTCAATCAAATGTTTTGAACATCATTTATCTGACCTTATTGATGTTCACTGCTTCCTCTATGGGACAGAATCTGTGGTCGGTGTGTGTTTTGGAGTCTCGACACACCACACACACGGGCTGTTGATCATCCAGACAGAAGAGTTTGAGCTTCTCTCTGTGAACACTGCAGACTGTTTCCCCTTCAGATGAAGATCTCTGTTTTCTCTCCTGTTATAAAAAATCTCACACAGGTTCCTCAAAGCCAAATTTAGTGGAGGATCATCCATTTGGGATATTTCTCTGCAAATGGGACATTCATTAAATCCTCTACTTTCCCAAAACGTCTGAATGCACTTTGAACAGATGCTGTGACTACAGGGCAGAACAACAGGATTTACGAAAAAGTCCAAGCACACGGGACAAGTGAAGTCCTCCTCAGAAAAACCGTCATATGACATTTTGCAGGTCAGAAATCAATCTTCAAAGTTTGGCTTTAAGCTTCAGATTCACAGCAGGGAAAATGAGCATACGAAACTGAGCTTCAGGTAATATATAAACTTGAAAAGTAGATTAGCAGGTGTGTCTCGTTCTATATTAAAGTGGGAGGAGCTCAATTCTATTCTTCATTCTGTTCTATACTATGCAGACAAACTGGATCATAAGGGGCCGTTCGTTCACACAACACCGTTTTCAACTAAAACTGAAACTTTTTATGAGCTTTGGTCGTTCATTTACACGACTACCGCGTTTCGGGGGCCTGAAAACGCAAACTTTTGAAAGCAGATTTCAAAGCGCAAGTTTTTTTGAAAAGGACACCGTTATCATTGTGAGAATTACAAAAACACACATTTGTAAAATTGGGGATGTTCAGTCTATGGGCCCTATCAAACACCCAGCAATGCAGCGCCAAGTACGATGCAAGTGTTTTTTGCTAGTTTCAGCACGACGCAGTTTTTATTTTCACATCCTGCGCCACATTATTTAAATAGCAAATGCATTTGCGCCTATTTATGCGCCCATAGGCGTGCTGGTCTGAAAACGAGGTGTGTTCAGGAGCATTGTTTTTTTATTTAAAGGGGTCATATAATGGTACATGCACTTTTACAAGTTGATTGTACTGAAATGTGTGTTGGCAGTGCCTGTACACAACCATCATATAATGATAACAATCCATCCAGTGTTTTTGTTTTAATCTCCTTATATGTTTTTCTCTGTCTCAAGGACGCCCCTCCCACGATTGTTGATTGACAGCAGCGTTTCAACACAGACCCGCACTGAGCGAGCTCTCATCATAGTCCGTCATTGTTGATACGCTGGAGCAGAATGGCGTCTAAGCGATTGTGGTGTTCTGTTCTTGGGTGTAATAACGAACACAGTCATTTTGATGTTCCTAAATCCGAACCGCTGAAGACGCAGTGGCTGAGTTTGTTTTCAAAGGGAATATTCCCCACGAGCAACGTCAATGCTCTCATGTTTGCGCAAATCATTTCTCACCAGACTGCTTTATAAACAAGGATCAGTATAACGTTAAAGCTGGTTTAGCTAGGAAGCTGCTCCTGAAAAAAGAATCGGTGGCAACTATTCGTGTTCCCTCTGCACCTCCAGAAGAAGTGAGTGTAAAGTTTTATTAACCTTTATATTAATCTTTGCACATCGCGGAAAAAAGTTTTTCATGACCATTAGTTGTAACGTCAATCTGTCAATGAACTAACGTATACATCAGTAAACACATAGCGTTCATATCTCACTACTCAACCCTGCCAGTGCATACAAAGATACATCAAAGTGACATTATGTTAACCAACCATTCAGAAACGTCCTGTTCGAGCCTTAAGGTCCTTTTACACTGGACGCGATTTTGACGCACAAATAATTCGCGCGATAGTTTTATTTTTTGATCAGCTGTTTGTGTAATGAGTGCTTCCACACCGAACGCGAATGTGCTGCGGCGAAAAAACGAGATTTATTTTTTCCGCTTCGATGTCGATTTTTGGAATGTTGAAGCTCTGAACGTCGCAAATTCGCGTCGCGGCTGATGTGAATGGTTTTGACGCGAACTATTCGCACGCAAACTATTCGCTTTTCCGTTTCGCTTTTTCGTTACGCGTCCGGTGTGAAAGGGCCTTTAATTGTCGAACTTCTTTGGGCCGTCATCTTGTTCCGGGTCCGACTCTGGTTCAAACTGATACGGTTGCACAGATGTGTCCTCAGAGAATCCCGCTACCATTCTCTCTCAAAAATATACCCTCAACAGTTGTAAAGGCAACACTTCACGTGCGTTGTGTCGAAACACCCGCAGAACAGAGGGGCGGAGTCAGCGAAGCTCATTATCATTTAAAGGCATATGCACTGAAACGGCAGGCTGAAAACAGAGCTGTTTTTGACCAGGTAAACTTTGTGTTTTCTTAAAATACTAATGAGAATTTTTAATTAAAGTATATTACAAAGTTTTCATTTAGACCCTAAACATTCATATTAACTTGTACAAAAATGGCATTATATGACCCCTTTAAAGATCGCGTTAGTAATGTGTGCCTATTGGCGGTTCCATAAAGCGCGACCACTCTGCTTATTACATAAACAGGGGGGCGCAGCAACACACAAACATGCCAAATATTAAAAATAAAAGGATTTCAATATAAAAGATTAATGTACATAAAGATGTGGTTGAATCCGGCTTGTTTCGTAGATGGTCTGCTTGCACTTTAACCTCGCGCACGAGCAGATCCGTTTCCTCGCTAGAGAAGCGTTCAGTCTTTCCACGTGTAAATTCCGTCATGTTAATAGCGAATCCACCGCCATGGCGTGAGCGCAACTGGCTTTTAAAAGGGAATGGGAGATGAGACTCTGATTGGTTTATTGCACCTTACGGCCAAAACACACCCATTACTCATTAAGAGAATAGGGACAACCCTTTTAGACCATGCACTGCGCGCCGACCATTTTTCCCGTCGTTAAACTAGCAAAAGTGGATTCGGACACACACCCTACGTGCATGAGCCCTGCGCTTTAGACCATGCGCTTAGATCGTTAAAATAGGGCCCTATAAGTGTGTAGTGTTTCTTTACAAAGTGACATCCCCATCTACTGGCCTGACGTAAAGGAAAAACAAGATTCCCATCTACAGTTATTGTCATGTACTTGTCTCTTGTTTTGTGTGCAAGCACATGGCCGGTTGTTTTGGGCTAAGTGTTTGCATTGTCTTGTGTCTTTACCTCGTTTCCTTGTCAGTTAATGTTTTATCAGTGTCACCTGTGTATGTGTCCTTACCACACCCCTTGTTCTCTCGTTAGTATTGATGTTCATCAGAGTCACCTGTACCCTTGTGATTATGTGTCCTATATGTAAGATCCCTGTGTTTGTTTCTCATGGCTTGTTTGTCTTGTTATCATCCGGTTCTGTGAGCTTTGTAATCTGTCTGTGAGTTCCAGTTCATATTTATTGTCAAGTCTTGTTATCGTCAAGTTTTTAGTTTTGTTTATTTATGTTCGTTTGCCCGATCGTGGGTCCTTGTTTTCCGTTTGTAAATAAACCGTGTTTTGTGAAAGTACTGTCTGCACTTGGGTTCTTATCAGCAAAACGTGACAGTTATATACTGACTTTTTAGTTAGTATATAAATATAAATCTTTATAGACCATAATATGGCCCCTTTTTTTCTTATTCTAGATGTTAATTCACATCAACTTCACAAGCCCCTTGTGTCTGAAACCCGTATATCCAGAGGCGGCCTTTGCAATTTGGAGGCCCCCCATTATTGAGTCAACAATTAAAAAAAAAAAAAAAGAGATGTTAGGCTTAGATGTCCACGCAACTCTTTCCGCACAAGGATAATGATTAAGGATACTACTGATCTCCAAAAGCGATCAAAGGCATCATAACAGCACGACATAACAGGAGTCGTACAAGTCTTCAGAAGTCATTTACATTTAGTCATTTAGCAGACGCTTTTATCCAAAGCGACTTACAACTGAGGCATTTTGATTGCAATTTTACTGCAAATTATCAGTGGATAACTTAAATGCAGGTCTGTTCCGTCGCACAATGCCTCAGTTGTACAATTTCAATGCAGAATGCTTGCATTTTCAACATAACTTTACCTAGAACAACACCACATTCTCTCACATTACATACACTCAGTGCTCATCATTCAGAGAAATGATTCATGTCTGCATGATCTAATTAAAAGTGTTCAAAGCTGGTTTCTCCTCATTCTTGATGTGGCAGCAGCAGGTGTGGGATGAATAGAAATAGTGTATGTACTTTATCAGCTGCTATGACCGGACTTGAACTTTACATTAATCAATCCTCATTTGCCCATTGCAAATAGTGCCTAAATGTTTGTGTGTTTCTTTGAATTGATTCATTCAACTGTAAATGATCAAAAGTTCCTTTAAATGAACTGTGTGTTGGATCCAGAAGGGAAATATATGATGTTTCACTAAACAAAGTTCGGGAGGAGCACGTTCAAATAATCAATCCAATTAACCTGTCATCAACAATCATCATGACTATCCCATCAGCATGAGAGGAAGCATATATAAAAGGCACTCAGTCGATACAATACTCTGGGTTCGGGCCAAATACCGAGCCCAGAGCCCTCTCCTCGGACAGCACGTCAAATATGCATACCATCTATTCTATCTGACTTATTTGTAAGTGTGAACTTGTGAAAAATAATGTCATTCATATTTATTATTTATGTGCTATCAGAACCAAGTTAAATGCAATCGCTTATCTTTCATTCTCAGCTCACGGATCACTGATAAACATAACATGAATGGTTTAAAAAATACATATGCAAATGAATTAGAGAATATACATTAACTGCACTGATAGACATTTAAGCATTCGTTTAAACCAGTTTTGTTTCACTCTGAAAGCGAAAGCAACAGCAACATTTCTTAATTTCCTTGAAAATGATACTGATCTAACAAAGGCAAGTTCCAATAAAATATCTGCTCAGTCCTCTATGATGTCCACCACCATTGCATGTATTTGCAGGCGTTGAGGATGTGTCGTGTACAGCATCTGTGTGGGTAGAAAGAAACATTTGAATCACGTTGTGCAATTAAGTTTATGAAGGCGAAAAAAAAAAAAACCCCAGACTGGAAATGGACAGTATGCAAGATTCTTCACAGTGTTAAAGGGAAGGTTGTGTGAAGTCATGGAAAAGCTTTTATGTTTTTATAACTGAACCCAATAATTGGACATTTCTAAGTCTATAATTCAATATCTCTATAGCTTGCTTAGAGAAGTATCTTAAATGAACCGAGATGGAAGACAACTGTAAACACTAATAAGTTGAGTCTATTCCAAGGGCACTGGTTTTCAGGATTGTAAATGCAACGCAGTTTTTTGTAGTTTCTAAGAAACCATGAGAACAGAAAGGAAACAATGAGCTACAAACTAATATTCTAGTAAACCAAAACTGAACGTTACATTCAACCACTCCCTGTAAATTATAATGCAATGTGATAATACCAGAAATACCAGAAAATATCAAATTCACAATTCAGT